TAAAACTAATTAATATTAACACTACAGAAACACTATCACTATGTACTTTAAGATAAAGATCAATTTCTTTGTATTGGCAGACAAATATCTTCGCTAAATAACGTAGCCAAGATATTCGTTTGCCAAATCATACGGGCCAAGACACTTGCAGAACAGCTCTTCTACTAAACTGTTTCTCTGCCCTGCTATCAACATCTACGAAGGGTGCTTACTCCTATAAGGCAGTGGCCCCCAACCTTTGGGACACCAGGGACCGATTCCATGGAGAAAGGTTTTCCCACTGACTGGAGGGGGCATGATTTTGCATGCTACCTGCATCCCACGGATGGGGTTTAACTTATTTGCACAGCCCTGGCATGCTGTGGACTGGTGTCAGTCCATGGACCTCTGCTGTAGGGTATTCTTTCAATGAGTGTATATCTTATCTGGAGATGTGAGAGAAGATCTTCTCATCCTTTGGGACTTTCTTCATGCTGGCATCAAGGGTGGGTTTCAAAAAACTTTCCTACCAGTTCGGAGAGCGCTCTTCGCTTTACTGGTACTGTGGGGTGGATAAATCCTATTTGTGGCAGTTGCCTACCAACACGTGGTCTATTGAGAATATTGTGTTGCCTCTTGCATTTTCTTTTTTAATCCACGTGCTCTTCCCACATAATCTGAAAGGTTGTGTAATTTATCTTCTTCAAAACTGAATATTTGTATTTCAAAATGTAAAACATGATGCTTACATTTTCTTTTCCTATTTTTTAAAAATGACATTTGATTTCATATATTTCTTGTGATATTGGTCTATCTCATTTTGTTGTATATGTTTTATTTGTAATTTTCCTTTAACAACCAACTTATTTTGTGGACAGCGTATTGACTGGGTCAATATATTTTTTACAGAGTGCTGACAATGATAATAAAATTAAATATACATAATCTTTGTCCCAACTTCTAATCTTAATATGCTCATTGTAATTATAATAGATTATTTATGTATCAATATATATAATATTATTTTCCCAATTTCAACTTTGTTTCCTCACACATACACACACACATACACACATTTGTTGGGGTTCTTCCACCTTCATATCTCACCTATCATTCTCTCTCTCATATGAAGGCATATGTTAGAGGCCTGATAATAGACTATACAAGGAAAAGAAATACTATGAAAAGATTAGCCTCTAAGGCCTTAGAGGATGAGTATAAAAGACTTGAAAAAGAGTTACAGAAAATGCCACAGAAAAAGGACATCAAGCTAAAAATGGATATAGTTAAACATAAAATGGGTCAAATAGAAAAAGAAGAATTAGCACAGAAAATTAGAGGTGCTAAACAGAACTACTTTGAAGACGCAAACAAACCAGGTAGATGGTTAGCATACAAATTGAGAAAGGAGAAAGAATCAAGAAAAATATTAATAGATGACCAAGGCCAAGTTTGCTATGGTAGTAAAGAGAAGAAGGAAATCATTCGAGACTTCTATGGGAAACTACATATGCAAGAGAATATTGATGAGGAAAGAGTTAAACAGTACTTACAGAATGCTAATTTACCTCAGATACCTAAAGAGATTGAAACAATGTTAGAAAGCAATATAACGATGATGGAGTTAACTGAAGCACTCAAGAAGCAAAATAATGGAAAGGCACCAGGCCCAGATGGACTTCCGGCAGAATTTTACAAAACATTACAAGAATCGTTGAATCTTCCATTGCTAGAAGTTATGAAAGAAGTTATGTTAAAGAAGAAGATACCTAAATCATGGTCAGAAGCCTATATTACACTTATTCCAAAAGAGGAGGCCCATCCATTACAAATTAAGAACTATAGACCTATTTCTCTACTAAATGCAGATTATAAAATCTTTGCTTCAATATTGGCAGAAAGACTTAAAAAATATCTAAATAATTGTATTCATCCTGATCAAATTGGATTTCTGTCAAAGAGACAAATTAAAGATAATATGAGAGTAATCTTGGACACCTTGGAATACTACGAGGCACATCCTGAAAAACAAATGGCTCTGATATTTCTAGATGCACAGAAGGCATTTGATAATGTGAATTGGCGATTCATGTTATTACTGCTGGAACAGATGGGCTTTGCTAGAAAATTTATTCAAGCAATAGAAGCTAAATACTATAAGCAAACGGCAAAGGTAATGATAGAGGGAGAACTGACAGACTATATCAATATAAGAAAAGGAACAAGACAAGGGTGCCCACTATCACCTTTGCTGTTTGTGTTAACTTTGGAAGTGCTAAACAGAAATATTAGAGATGAAAAGAATATAAAAGGAATGAAAATCAAAAAGGAAGAATTTAAGCTGCAAGCATTTGCAGATGATCTGGTTTTCATCTTAGAAGACCCTCTAGAAACAGCATCAAAATTGATAGAGAAGATAAAGACATATGAAAAGGTGGTTGGTTTGAAAATAAATAAAGATAAGACAAAGATCTTGACAAAGAATATGCTATTAAGACAAAAGGAAAAACTGCCAGACTTATTGAAAATTCAGGTCATGAATAAGATCAAGTACTTGGGGATATATTTGACAGCAAGATGTAGTACATTAAAAGAGAATAATTATATCAAACTTAAACAGCAGATAGCGCTAGATCTGGTGAAATGGGAAAATTTACAAGGTCACTAATAGGGAGAATTTCAACAATCAAGATGAATATATTACCCAGAATTTTATATTTGTTTCAAACAATTCCAGTTAGGCTTGGAAAAGATTACTCTGAAGATTTAAATAAAATTGTGTTGAAATATATATGGCAAGGTAAGAAAGCGAGAATAAAGTTAAAACTTTTGCAAGATGCTAAAATTAGAGGAGGATTTGGTTTGCCTAACTGGGAGTTGTATTATCAAGCTACAAATCTGATGTGGGTTAAGGAATGGATAACACGAAGAAATACTAGATTGTTGACATTAGAAGGACATGATTTGTTGTTGGGGTGGCATGCTTTTTTATGGTATAAAGGAACTAAAACACAGGGGTACTTTAGAAGACATTATATACGGGAGTCTCTGTGGTTAAACTGGGAGAAGATTAAAAGACAATGTTATTTGAAAATTCCAGTCTGGCTATTGACTATTGAAGCATTTTCTTATTTTATAATATATAAAAAGAAACAAACAGTTAGATATGGTGAAATATTGAATGAAAAGGTTGAACTCAAATCTATACAAAAACTAGAGGAACAAGGTATCAAGATGAATTGGTTTTCATATGTGCAAATAACTTCAAGGTATGATAAAGATTCTAAAATGGAAGGTTTCTATGATAAATTGACTGATTTAGATAAGATTTTGACAGGTACTGATGAAAAGGTGATTTAAAAATTGTTGTGGCTCCGATTCCTGAGCCTGTGCTGTTAGAGGAAAAGAACTCGGAAGATGAGGAGGAGGAACTAGGAATGCCTTCCTCCCCAGGACCTTCCTCTCTGGCAATGCCTTCCTCCCTGATAATGCCTCAGGTTTCATCAGACAACCGAGAGGAACAGCCTGAGATTTATCAGGAGGAAGGCATATCGGAGCAGCCCCTGACAGGGAGTCAAGAGGAAGAATGTTGGCTTGATCCTAAGCAGCGTCATAGGGAGAAACGTGAGCAGCAACGTAGGAGGCGTGGGTGGGTCAGAGAGTGAGCTGTGTCATTGAGCCACACCCCACAGGGGATAAAAGTGGGTGTGTTGTCGGCTGAAACTTTGTACAGGACAAAGTTTAATCTTACTTCAGGTTTTTCGTTGTGAATGATTCTTGTGGTCTGCCTTGTAATTCTCTGTGAGTAGCTTTTTACTTGTTATCAATTTGGACTTGGCAGGCAGAGTGTGTTGGTATGCCAAGGACATTATCAGTTCCAAAGAATTAACTCTGTGAAGTCCGAGTCAGCTTGCCTGCCTGTGTTTGTGTAAGTTTGTACTCTTTCATCTTTTGGGAAAGAAGAAAGGTGAGACAGAACAAAAATTGTATGGATATTTATTAGAAATTAAATTAGAAGAAGAACAAGTTAAAGAAACTATGATTGCTTGGGGGAATAATTTTGGATATGGGATCGATTTAGAGAAATGGCAAAAACTGTGGTCTCAAAATTATAAAACGACAATGTCAACAGCATATAAAGAAAATTTGTATAAGATGTTTTACAGGTGGCATTTCCCCCCGACAAGAATAGCAAGGATGCTCGAGAATAAATCCAAAAAATCTTGGAAATGTCATCAGACACCTGGCTCATATTACCATATGTGGTGGACTTGTGCGGACGCTAGAAAATACTGGACTAAAATCCACATGTGGTTGGAAAAAATGACAAAAAAACATATAGACTTGAAACCAGAGATATTTTTATTGGGAATTTTACCTGAAATATATAGTAAAGACTTGAAATATCTGATTGTAAATGTATTAACAGCGGCTAGGATTGTATTTGCCAAAAACTGGAAAAATGAGAAAACACCATCACAGGAGGAAATCATTAAGAAAATACTGGAATGTGCTGAAATGAGTAGATTGACAGATAGAAGAAGATAAACAATTTTATAAAATTTGGGATCTATTCTATCAATGGTTAGACAATAAAATACAGTAATGAAATATGTAGACTTTTAGAAAATAATAAATATATAAAGATGTACTTCTTATTATATCTATAAAATGATTTTAGGATAGATTTGGGATGATAATATAAACTATTATAAAACAAACTAAGTAAATTATGATTATCCTGTAAAACATGAATGAATAAAAGTATAGTCAAATGATTGATTAATAATGATACTAAGGTATTTAATTTTTGATTGAAAATATGAGGTTATATGCAATGTAACTGTAATTGAAGACAATGAAATGGAAGCACAAAACAATTTGTAAACCAACCGGCACACTGTATGTATACATATGGAAGATGGCTTGATGTTTTTATGTTTTGTTTGTTTATGTTTGTTTTTAAAAACCAATAAAAACTTAAATTAAAAAAAATGTTTCATTAGTAATTCATAGCTCACCTGCCTAGATTCCTCCACATTCATGGGCATGTCTGGCCACAGACAATTCCTAAAAAATGAAATTAAAAAGTGAAGTAAGATTCTGGGAAAAGTATATAATTCTCCAAAGGCTCATATCAAAATGAGCTGTAAACAAACCTCTTGGAAGCATTCAGGACATACCAAGGAACTGGATCAATTTAAAACCTGCTGCCAGCACAAAAAATTGCTCTTTCACAAGCGGTGGATTGTACTGTATGTCTTAAAAGGCCACTTATGTTCCTTGTTTAGTACAACCTTTTGACTTTCATAGCTCAGAGCACACTAAGAGAGCCAATGTGACTGATCTCTTCCCATGTATAGTTAATGGTATTTCAAGCTCACCTTTTAAAAACAGCCACAGGTAGGATGATTGTTCCAATGTCAAACGACTGTCTTAAATTAAATTTCCAGATGTGGACTGGGAAAACCTTTTATTTATATTTAATATATATACATTTAAATCTATAATACAAAGTGTGAAAAAGAAAAGTAAGGAACTCAAAGAGAAAGCTAATGGTGTGCAAAAGTAGAGAAAAGTAGAAGAAAATTAGAAAAGAAAAAAGTTACAGAGAAGAAGCTTCCAATCTTCCTTTGATAAATACAATTAAAAATTACCTCTTACTCCAGGTACAACCCCTCTTTTTTCTACAAACTTTTCCTTCTAATCATTAAAACCATGAAACATAACTTCAGTTTTTCTGACTCAAGCAAAAGTCTGTAAGAGGTTTCCATTCAACAATAAAAATAGATAATTGTCTTTTCTCTGATCAAAGAAATCGATTTAGTCATCTCAGCAACTTTATTGTCTTCACCAACCATTCTTCCATTGTGAGTACTGTCGAATCTTTCCATCTTTGTGCATATAATAATCTTGCTTAAGTTATCATGCACAAAAACAAAATTCCATAACTTTTTTCCAACTGTTTGTCTATCAATCTCAAACCAAAAACCTCTGATTAATTTTATGTTAAGTCTTTGAAATTCTCTGAAGTAGTTTATGCATTTGAATCCAGAATTTTCTAACATTTTTACACATCCACAACATACTCTGGTGATATATGGGTCTCCTTAAAGTCTGACCATAATGGAGCCTGCTCATTATGACTGTATGTTGTAATGGTCATAAAACCGCCAATTTTACGACCCTTTTTGTGGCAAAGATTAAGTGAACGTGGTGTCCTTAAAGTGGCTGCAGCAGTCATTAAGTGGACATCATGGTCATTAAGTAAACCATTTGTACACTATGGTTGCGGTTTAGCCTAAAATAAGAAGTGCCGTTTTTTGGCAAAACGGGTGTAAAACGCAGTCACATGACTTCAGGATGTTGCAAACAGCCATAAATGTGGCCATGTTGTTAAATGCCCGAAGTTCGGTCACATACTATGGAGGGGGGAGACAACTGTGAGTACTTCGAATCTAGTTCCTAATTACTCTTTTGTGGGGTCAATTATAATTTTGAACTGTTGCTAAATGTTGAGGACTACCTGTATACCAACAGTGCATCCATTTATAAAAATTCTTTTTAAGATTATAGCACAGTGCAAATTTCAATCCTTTTCAAGCCACATATTTTTCCACTGCTCCATTTGTATCCTGTATTATAACCAAAATCTTTAGCCCATTTTATTTTATGTTCTTTCACTTGTTTTTCTTCTATTTCAATTTTTAATAAGTTTATGCATTTTAGCAATTGCGTGTTCATTATTTGTACAGAATTCTATTTGAAACTCAGTCATACAATGTTCAGAACCACACATTCTTTTGTCTGTTTTAATTTTTTTTCTAATAATTGTAAATAGGGAACCATTAACAACTATTTCCCTCTGCTACCAGTTCTTCTCTTAATTTTATTTTACATTCCCCTTGACAAAATGTGAGTATCCTAGAAAATTGTGGACAAAAAGAGCTCCATTAATATGGTTACAAGAGAGATCAATCTAGGCAGGGTGTTCTGAACAAACCAAGAATTATTACATAGCTGGATCTATTTACTTTTGGGTCAGTAGCTCAATAGCAGTTACTAGGATTTAGTAAGGTTTGTTGAGCTATTATTATCCCCAACTGATGACACCGTTGCAATTTGTTGAATGCATGTTAGTCCAGGGCCTACACACACGGAGAGAGAGAGATTATCTATCTATCTATCTATCTATCTACCTACCTACCTACCTACCTACCTACCTACCTACCTATCCATCTACCATCTACCTCCCTGCCTCCTTCCCTCCCTCCCTCTCTCTCTCTCTCTCTCTCTGTGTGTGTGTGTGTGTGTGTGTGTCAGATACATTTCTTATTTAGTTCCATTTAAAAAATAAAACCACATGCATCAACCATGATTGATGGTGTCCAGAAAAGATGGGCCCTATCCTCTGAAACTGCAGACCACATCATTTTTCAGTAGCATCTATGTCTCTCATAATTACAAGATATAAAAAGTAACAAGAGAAAATCCTCTTAGTAGACTGCTTTGTGAAATGTGAACTTGACTTTGATCCTAGCTTTTGAATCTTATTGTAGACTGTCTCTCTGACATGTGATATGACATCTTAAGAGTAGGGCACATTTAACACCAGTAACTCTCCAAATGAAACATACATCCTTGGAGTGGATTTAATTTAGCCATGTTCCTAATCAAATTATTTCTGCATTTGCCATATATCATAAGGAGAAATAGATACAACTGCATTCATATTAGGAAATACAATTGTGCTATGTTGAATTAATTAAACTTACATTGCCAGGCTGAAGTGACTGATGATCAGTTATGGTGGATGTCTTCTCTGTGCCTACTCCAAGACAATGCCTTTCAACTTTATTCCGAATTAATTTTAAATGGCTCTATTGCTGGACTTACTTAATTCATTTCAGTGAGCTTTGAATGCAACTCTTATGTGCAGGCAGAATATATACTAATAATGCTCAGTAGATTATCAGGAACCTTCTGTTGTTCCTTAGAACAAACTACAAGTAAGGGGGGAAATTATCAGTGCAGTTTTCCAATGTCTTCTTACATTTCGGAAATTAAAGTGCAAAAAACTAATTTGAATTAGTCTTAAAGCAGGAAGGGAATAGTTTTCAAGCTTGGGAGTCTCCTCCCTCCTGAGCCTAACAGCAACTGCTTTCTACACTTTAATAATAATTATAGAAAATGGAACAAAAACTAGATATTTGCAATTCTAATCCAGCGTTTCTTTTTCCTTTCATTTTATTAAAACAACATTGAACATTCCAATTGCAGAATTACTGTGTCTGGGGTGATTTGGCTTTAAAATGTTTTATGGGTAGGTGGAATGGCTTTTGCCTTTCTTTTTTTATTTAGGACACAGCCAATTCCAACTTATTCCAAGGGCTTTGCATATTACCTAGCAAATAGGTTAGCCATAGCTAAACTACTTTTGCTGCCAAAACCAATATTTGGAAGACATCTGAATTTCTGCACTGGTGGAACTATATCATAGCTTGTGTCTATTTCATTTCTGGACATGTGTTGTTATTATTTATTCAATTTACATCCCATCTTTTCATCAAGTGAGCACAAAAGATGACTAACAATAAAAGGAAACAATCCAAGGAATAAAATCTTATAAACATACTTAAAATTATTAACAAATTCAAATAGAATGTCCTGTCAAATGGCTCACATTTTCAGTAGCTGAAATGTCACAGTAAGAATGGGTTAGCTTCAGAATTATGAATGTTAGAAGAATAAAGATGTCCCATATAGTGAAATGTAAAGCAACTGCCTTGATTCCTCTCATTCTCTTCCGTTTGTTGAAAAAATCACAGTCACTTTCAACTCAAAACTGGATTGACTATCTATCTATCTATCTATCTATCTATCTATCTATCTATCTATCTA